TAGATATGGCTTGGAAACAAAGAGCCTTCAACTCACATGCAGCATGAAGAAGTGCGAAGGAGGGCAGCAAATAGGTGACGACTACCACAGCTGACTTTTGGTACAGGATCGGTGAGATGCTTGAGTCGAATTTCCAGACAGCAAACAAGATAATCTGATAGTCCATCCGCCGCTTCCGAGGTGAACAGAAGGGCAGTTTAGCAGAACTGAAGGACAAATCTGGATCCGCTCTTACTGAGGATAACGACATTCTTCGGCACTGGAGAGAGTAATTGGAAGAACTCCTTAAAATCTAACCCTGAAAAAAGCAAGGAACGGATATTAATATCAATGTAGATGAAAACACGCAAGCTGTGAAGAGCCATATAAGTGTAAAGGCTGCTGGAATCAATGAAATTTTTCCTGAAATGCTTAAAGCATTAGGCGAACAGGGCATGTGCTGGCTTACTAATGTCTGTCAAGCAGCAATGACTACGGGGATGACACCGGCGGACTGGAGAAAGGGAGTTATGGTACCATGTTCAAAAGAGGAGATCATAAGGAGGTTTCAGTTATGAGGGCATTACCCTATTGACCTCCCAGGGTAGATTCCAAAGGTGCTAGAAATGAGGTGCCGCTGAACAACCGACTTTAAAGTACAAAAAAAACAGTGTTGCTTCAAATCTGGCCGAAGGACCTCTGACCAGATATTGGCCTTAAGCCAAATCTTTGAAAAATTGTGGGAATCTGTGCATTCGATCTACATGTGGATTTGTATAGAACTTACGATCAGAATCCATGCGACAATATATGGGTGTGCCTACGAACATGTGGGATCGATGGACAGTTGATACAGGTCCGCCAATCACTATATGCTGATAGCAGGCACTGTGTCTGAATAAATGGCGTTAAGTCGAAGCCCTTCGACGTTAGCACTGATCTCCGCTAAGGCTGCGTCCTGTCCCCTATCCTGTTTGTGTTGTACATGGATAGAATAGTAGGGAGCTGCCAAGGCGACGAGGGTATCGGTATAGGAGATGTGAAGTCGAGAAGGTTGCTGTTTGTAGACGACTTTGTTTAATCGGCATTTTCTGAAACTGATGTGCAGCGCTCTATGGAAAGGTTCACAGCCAAGTTCGATGTAGAAGGCATGCGTTTGGACGTATCTAGAGCGAAAATCATTGTTCCCCCCGTTCTTCCTTAAGCTGCGGTCCGCAGATAAAAACGAGGCAGTGAATCAGCTGGAAAAATTCAGGTACCTCATGGCAGTGTTTACTGATGATGGAAAATGTAAAATGGAGATCCACCATCGAATTGGAAGCCAGCAGCATTTTTTTTTATTGAATCACCCGGACCCGTTGTAATTAATGCTTAGGTAAGTCTGGAGACTAGACATTCGACGTTAAGGTCAATATTTGTTTCATTGCTTACTTAGGTCATGGGTCGTGGACAGTGACTGAAGAACCTCGATCACGGGTACAAGCAGTTGAAATGGCGTTTATGAGACGAACTTCTGGGTTCATGCATCTGCACATGATCCAGGGCACACATATCTGTGAAAGCCTCTATGTATAGACCTACTTCTCCAGAATAAAAGGTCACAAATACAACGGTTATGGAACTTGAAGTGAATGCCTCCAGAACGAAAGGCGAGGCTGAAATGCTGGCGGAGGATGAGGAACGTTGTAATCACTCTGACGCGTCTGGTTTGGCAACCCGAAAGGAGAAGCGGTCATGGAAACTGAACTGCAATCTGGTTAACTGCTGCCATTGCTTTCCATACGGTATCGTTTACGGTTGATTCAAGCCTAGCACGAAACTATGAATAACCCGTTCTTTTCCTTTCTCTGTTACAGAGACGCAGAGTTTCTTTGAGAGATCAACATCATGACTAAAATGCTTATCGACGTTCAACGAAGTTGGTGCTACTCTTTTGTTTGATGCCATTTAAGCTCCACTGTATGAAGTGTAAAAAATGAGTCAATGGTACCCACAGGTGATATGGTCATAAGGAGTGGGGCCTCATTTACTGCACCATCAAAGGGGTCTTGAAGCATGTACATATTGCGTAATCGCTCCTTCATAAAGAAGAATTATAACAGTTTGCTTGATTCTCTCATTAGATACTACTGAAAGACTTTAGTTTTGTTTTTGTTTGAGGTACCATTGACTTTCTCACCTGGTCTCTTGCAATAGATCCTTTACTGCCACTATATTTCTAGAAATGCATGGTATGCTGCTTTGTTAGGCGTCAGGCAGTGTTTGTGCTAATGCAGATTAAATGAGCTAATGACCTCATGGGCCAAAGGCGCCGATCTACTTCATTTATGCAGCCTATTCTTTGATGAAGCAAAATATGCAGTAAAGTTATTAACATCACCGCAAATATAGCAATCCTTATACACATTTCTGCAACGGCTAAATTTAGGTAGTTGAAGCAGCTAGTCTTTTCGATATTTCTCACCAATTATTCGTCATTCTAAAGCTTCTGATTTATGCATGAGTCCTCAAATTTTGTTAAACCTCGAATCAGTAGGTGAACAGCAGCAGTTACAAATTGTGGCAGGATAAACTTTTATATTTTGCGCGTTCATTATTTAATAAAATAAATTAATAACCGCATACAAAAGACAGCGGTTGAACACTGTGCTATACATCATGAATTCTGCCAGCGTTGTGATGCAAAGTGATTGCTTTAACGCCGTTCAGATCTTGATGAAGTCAGCTTATTTAGCGTCGAACGATCATGGGTTCAAACCCTTGTCGAGTGATTCGCTTTTTCAAATAAACGAGTATACTTTTTGGAAACTATACAGAAGATTACAAGCACGGTTATCACACCTTGGACATTTCCTTCAAAATAAAGAATTCTTGATGGCATAGCTTCTGCATTGCGCCATAAGCTGCATGAAAACAAACGTGCCAAAAAATAGTGTCCATCATGAAAACGTTTCACCGAGACAGACATCGAAAACATTGCAAACTTTTGACTTCCATCGTTCAGGTTGCCAAAGCTGTATCGATTTTTCCTCATTAGCCAGAATTATGGTTTTCTTTCCTCTTTGCAAGGTCCTGGAAAACATCTGCATGCATCAGGCCCTGGTTAAATTCAATTTCCCGCCTTTGAGTAGATGCTGAATGCGGACCACGGTTGGAAACCAGCCCTTATCCGGGTAGCATCAATTACCAGCTTAGATTTCTCGAAAAACAATGGTAAGCTTAGGGTGCGTCTGCGTTCCGACTTCAATGGGCGTCGTTGTCCAAGTTCTTTATTCGCGACGAAATCGTCCATGCTTCGATCCGCTTTGCGCCAAAGTTCGAGACAAAGGCGGTTACGACACGGGTGCCAGTTTTGAATATGATAGCTTAGCGATTGTTTTGCCAACGGTACGGTCGAACGTACCGTCAAGTGCCAACAGGAAACCGTAGACCCGAAATTCACGCCGCTTCCTGAGAAACGCGAGTTTTTGAACTTTTGGGCGATTGACCACGAGCCAACTTCCGTAGACACGCCAGATTCTAAATGTGGGTGGCTACCATGTGGATTTGGTTGTGGCATATTTATTCTCCCGTCATTAATGCCAACGATCCATCTGGAACAATCAGCACTTTCCTTAAATTAGGATGTACATCTCCAGGTCAGTCGCCAAACACAGAAATGGCCACAATTAGATAATTACCGGACAGGAAGCATCGGCATTGTGAATGGTCCGGTCGATGAATACCGACCGGTTCCGTTCACTGCGTCTGGTCCAGTCGGCTTGAATCCGCCAGGACCGTTCGCCGCACCGGTTGGCCTTTCCTGAACTGTCGCAGCCGGGCTTGGCTTACGGTTGCGGTTGTGGCCACTGCGACAGTTTGTGGTCTACGTTGACGTAAGACCGACGAACGGTAGACGTAGCTGTTTAATACACGGTGTCAACGGTCCTGGCCGTTGTTGGACTGCGTCTTCTGTGCCATGAACGAAATTTATGGAGTATAGGGGACCGCTGGAATTCTCCTTTGTACGGGCAACGGAACGACTCCGAAGCATGGAGGCTGGAAAACAACGCGACGCGGCTCGTAACGGGGCGGAATTGCGTGTAATTGGATCAGGCACAAAACGAGAGTGGCCTTTTCGAGTGGCTTTCGCGTACGGTTGTTGCTTAATCCGTGAGCGACAATGAACTTTCTGCCGCCGATCCGTTATGGCGCCGTCAAGTCTGTAAAGAGTAGCTGGCTCTTTACACGGTGGCGATGGGGTGTAAGAAGCCCATTTTTCTTTCGCAGCGGGAATCAGCCTTTCGCTAAGATAGAAGTCGAGCTCATTTGAATTTGGGCCAATTGTTCGCTTCGCGTAATGCTATGCAACCTGATTTCTGCCCAGCGGGTGCCCCGCGACCGAGACCGGAAAGAGCTACCCACCTACGGCAAGGCTTAACACTCGACTGGAGTCAATTGTTACGGAGGCCTGCAGTCGCTTCGGACTCAGACACCAGTGGCTATGAAGATTATGGCGTGTAACGACATCGGTTACGTGTACTTTCTTGAGTGTCACAAACAGTTAGACGCTTTCCAAACACGTTGAAAGGTTGCACCTTATGG